TGTTATTATTATTATTATTATTATTATTATTATTAATTATTATTATTATTATTATTCTTATTTATTTTATTTATTATTATTATTATTATTATTATTATTATTATTTTATTATATTATTTATTATTATTATTATTATTATTATTTTATTATTATTATTATATATATATTATTATTATATTATTTTATTATTATTATTATATTATTATTATTATTATTATTATTATTATTATTAATTATCTATTATTATTATTATTATATTATTATTATTATTATTATTATTATTATTATTATATTTTATATTATTATATTAATTATTATTATTTTAATTTTTTATTATTATTATTCTTATTATTATTATTATTAATTATTTTCATTATTATTTTATTATTTTTTATATTATATTATTATTATTATTATTATTATTATATTATTTTATTAATTATTATTTTATCTATTATTATTATTATTACTTATAATGTATTATTCATTATTATTAATTATTATTATTATTATTATTACTTGTTATTATTATTTTATTATTATTATTACTTTTATTATCTATTATTATTCATATTATTTATTTATTATTATTATTTTATTATTAATTAATTATTATTATTTTATTATTATTATTATTATTATTTTATTATTATTATTATTATTATTATTTATTTTTTTTATTATTATTATTATTATTATTATTATTATTATTATTATTTATTATTATTATTATTATTATTATTATTAATTAATTATTATTATTATTATATTATTATAATTATTATTATTATTATTTATTATTATTCATTATTATTATTATTATTATTATTATTATTATTATTATTATTATTATATTATATTATGTTTGTTGTTGTTGTTATTGTTGATATTTAGATGAGATATGTTTAGTCCAATGTCATAGAGGACTGTTCAATATGATCTCGGCGAATAGAGAATGGGTACTAATTACAAAATTGTATCTCATAGAATATTAGTATGTTATGTCTCCGATTAGTTGTTGATTTATTGTCATGAATCCGGGTCTCAACTACTAAGATCATTACGACGGTATACCGGTAAGTGTACTGATGTTTTTTGCTTAGGGATGGTCTGGTGGTATTCCCGCCAAGGATGACGAGGTCCGGCTGCCGGACTACGTCGCTAGCGGCTGTTTCTCTAAGAGGTTAAGTCCCCCTCCCATTTGAGAAAGTTTAAGCTCCCGTACCGTGTGGTAGTGCGTTGTGTAAGGGGGTGGTAATAGGATAAGAAAGAGAAGTTGCGCGCGTCCTTGGCCCGTTTGATAGGGTACTGCTCGCTTGCCTGGTGTTGATCGGGGAAAACAGGGAAAACAATGATCAGAAGCGGTGCTAGAATTTCCTCCTACGGCAGCGACTGAATTTACCTAGCTGACAAGCTGTGTCGAAAGTAAACTGCCAGGTCGGACTGGAACTAGGGACCTAGGGTCAGAGGGATACAGTGCTCAGTGATGCCCTGAGCATCTCTCTCGGGTCGATTGGAAGTCGTTTCAATATAATTGATTGAAGAAATTAACTGCCAGAAAACGTGTGATAATTTCCAGTTTGAACTATGGTTGTAAGGCGAACATGCTATTTTGATGAGAAAGAGATTGTAGATTGTGGGTCTAATATGCACAGCAAGGGAGAGGGGCATCGATGCATGGGCGGACTTGGGAGCTGGGGCGCGTCGGGGGCACGAGCTGCCGCTGCAGTGCAGCGCGGCGGCGGCAGCGGAGGCCGGCGAGGGCCCGCAAGGATCGCAAGGGCCGCCGCGCCGCAGCCCGAGGGGTTTGCAGCTGCCCTGTTCACGCGAGCTCGGTAGCCGAGAGCTGCTGACCGGCCGACGCGTCGAGGTCGAGGGGGGCGATGATGGAGACGAGAATGCTTGCGGGAGGAGAGAAAGACGCTTTGGAGGCGTGGGCAGCTACGCGGCGCCGGGGAGCGGGACGCGGGCGGCGCTGAAGCCTTTTCCTCCTGCCTGGAATCTTCGAGCAGGGGGAGCCACAGCGCGCGCGCGGGCGGCGCGGGCGTGCGAACGGCCGCAATTGTTAAAACGATTTCTGCGGATCGCGAACCACCCAACCCCAACCCCAACCCCAATATCTCTCTCTCTCTCCCTCTCTCTCTCTCCCCTCTCTCTCTCTCTCCCTCTCCCCCTCTCTCTCTCTCTCTCTCACGCGCACGCGAACACGCGCGCGCGCGCGCGCACACACACACACACACACATACACATCTTTCATATTACATATTTTGTAAACTTCGCAGCCTACACTTTGTTCATGCAACAATTAGATTATTGGTTTTAATTTTAATTATCCGTGAATATTTTTGCTTGAAAGTTTCATAACAAGTTAAAATTAATAGTTACTGAAAAATTTTAAGGGGGGGGGGAAGGATTTCCCTAATTTCTATCCCTGTGGATCTACACCTGCTTGAGAACATAACACTCATGCAGTGGATCACAATATCAACTTTTGTGTTGAAAGCTTCTTAAGATGAAATCAGGAATTAAACAGCAAACATAAAATGTTTATAGTTTTTCAAAGTTTGATATAACACAGCTCAGATAGGAGAACAAATTTATTCTAATCCTCTGCTAAGGTGGGAACTGGCAGTTTAAGAGCTAAGAAAATGATCAAATTGCCTCAGGGAAGATTAGATTCCCTGAAGGATTTGTAAGTTTGATCCAGATGAAGGCTCTCACTTGAGAAAAGCTGCAGTGGCTGCCTGCGTGTGGGGGGGCCTGTGCAGGCAGGGAGTCTCCCTGTAGTTGTGATTGGGGCTGCTGCAGTTGCGATACTTGTGGCTGAGGTGTTTGCTGCTGCTGTGGTGGTAGGTGCTGCGTGAGGGGTTGGTGCTGAGGAAGCAAGGGCAAGTGCTGCTGGTGGTGGGTCTGGTGAGAGGGCTGTTGCTGCTGTGGGTAGCTGCTGTACATAGTGCTTGGCACAAGGTCCCTGCTTCCTCCCCCTGGCCTGCAACATCAAATCCCAATTACCCACAACCATTACTCTCTTTAAGATATTCATTCCATAATACCATTACTTGGATGAATTTAACTTTAATGTAAACAACAACATGATTTAGAACATTAATAAAAATCACAATATTACTGATTTTAAATTTTTATTATGCTGCTGACAACAAAAATTTTAAACTTGACAATTTAAAAGCAGCAAACATACATAAAATAATAAACAGAAAATTAATAAAAATAATAATTAGTTTTCCTGTCATTTGTGAAATTGAATAATACAAGAAAAACTCAATTTTTGACATAAAGATAACCTGACTGTAACTGTTTACATCCATACCAATAGGCCAGGTTTTTGTTAATTTGAGGTGGGGTCAACATGTAAATGCAATGCTATTTAGGGGAAGAAAATCTCTCCTTTTACTTTCTCATATACTACTGTGTACTGTAGCATAAAGAAATATAAATATATATAGTCACACACACATAGTTCTTTGATATAGCCAATGAGGTAGACTGTGAACCCTGTCATTCTTTTGCTTAGGTGGATTCTGGGGTTTTCAATGAATGCTAAAAGAAAGTTCATTCTTTAATGCTACAAGCAATGCACGGTTTTATCTTTTAGCGGTAGTAAACTCATTTTGTTTGCTTGTTACCATGATGGTTTCATGCAAGTTTTGACTGTAACACTGATTTCTTAAAAAAGAAAGACATTTTATAACACATTTGCCCCATTAGGGTAGAGGCACCAGCTATAGCCAGTTCACCTGCTGTAGCCACATCAAAGAAATTGTTGTAATTAAGCCTCTGTGGTAAAATATTCCATTAAGTGTTGAATGTCAAATTTAGAATAATTTGAGTACTGATCTTTAAACATTTTATGTTGTCATTCTTTTATCCTATTTGTCACATAATGACCACACCAGCAAGGAAATTTCAAAAATGAATGTTCCTATAATAATATCAGAATAATTCATAATTGTACAATGTCTAAGACATTACAATCCAGCATGAAGGCCATTATTCTGTTCCCTGGTGTATTTTACACTTGAATTGCTTTGTGTAGTTTAATACTCAATATATTTTCAACATAAAGAACATATAGCTAGCTATATCCAGACAAAAGTGAAATGATTTTATTAAAGAAGCATTATTGATAAACTATGTTAGATCTTTTATTCCTTACATTCTAAACCCATTCTATACATCTTTACTTTAACTCCTTCCAAAGAAAGAAGTTAACAATCAATTTTTTGAAGTAAAGAAAACTGCTTAAAGAGGCCACAGCCAGTGCTTTTGCCTAAATTTTTTCCAAAAGCAGAGGAGCGAATAAAAGTAGTAGTAAATATTTAGTAGGACAATGTGTGTTTCTTAATATAGGATTTTGGAACAAAAGTAAACAAAAAAGTGTAAAAAAAGTTACTAACTTCAACTTTTCTGGAAATTATTAAATAAAAACTATTCAGAAGATATAAATGTGAATGTAATTACTTAAAACATTTTCACCAAGCTGCTCCTAAAACTCCACAGCACTAGATGAAATAAATTAACATTATCATTGTTAATGGAATACACCTTTGTTCTTTGAAAATGTGATATTTTTTCAGTACTAAAGAGTAGGTATTACCTAGCACATCACCTGAATGAAACCTCAATTTAGTTACTCTGTAGTTTGGTTGGGGAAAAATGAAATAAAGTTTCACAAAATATATGAAAATAAATCTTTAGAAACAAGAAAATAACTACCCAAATGAAGACAAATGAAGTTCAAGAAGACACCAACAGAAAGTCTGCAACTTACATTATATCATTGCATAAGAAACATGTTAGTAGATACTAAAAAATACCAACCTTCCACTCAAATCAGCTTGAAATTCACATTCGGTCAACTTCACTCGTGGGGATAAATATTCCAACATTTCTTCTGATTTATAATCAATTAACTCATCAGACATGTAATCAGTTATTTCATTTCTATTGGCAGCTGGTGTGTCACTTGCATTGGAAATCCAAACACAACTCAGAGACCCAAAGCTCTTTTTCTTAACAATCCTAACATCATCCAAGCTAGAACTATCTAGAAACACATCATTTAAATTGTTTTCAAGGCAGGCATTTTCTTCAGTCAAGGAATTTGTATCTTGTACTTTTTTTCCATTACATTTTTCAATATTTGTATCCGTATTTTTGTTCTCTTTCTTAAAGTCCAACAAAATGCATGTTGTACTCCCAGTAAACTGTTGACAATTATCTTCCTTAGCATTCTTAATTTTTTCGGAGTGTTGAACATATTTATTTTTTTTCTCGGTTTCAGTGTTTACTTCATCAGCACTTTCTTGGTAGATGGATTCAATTTCAATTGTTTTGTCTTGATCAATTTTCCATTGGGCACACTTCTCTTTAAAATCTGGCACTTCATCCTTCCACACATTCTCACTGGTCTCCCACGAAAGCACCTGTGGAATGGAGCTCTCCCCACTAAGAGAAGGTATCATTAGAGATTCATTAACTTCCTCTGGACCAGGAATGCGTTGCCTACTTTTTTTGGGGCCTTGCGGCTTATCGTAAGTGATTAATTTCATTGTAGGACGACTAAATTTAAAAGTTGAGTTTAACAATATGGGAGCAGAGCATATACTTGGCTTCTTTTTAAATTGTTTAAATTTGTTATTCAAATTGCAGGATTCATGTGGTCGGCATAACAGGAAATTAGCATCACTTGTCGAGGGAAGCATTGAACCACTGTGACTTAAACTGAAAAGTTCTTTACACAATAAACATTGACAATTGGGATCACAGGTCATGGCAGCCACACTGAATATTCACAAACACACTTAATTTACTATTTTCTTATACTTCGCATCACGATATAACATTTTTATTTGCTTGGAAATCTTGAAATACACTCTTCATACTCAAATTCAGAACAGAAGTTTTTAAAATTGTTCTGCACACGTTTTCCACACTAACTACCTATGGGAAAAAAATGTACCCTTTAAATAAAATTTACAAAAGAAACTCAATAATTACAAGGGTTCACCATTTTGCTTTCATTGAGAATAAGAAACACTAATCTCAAGTAATAACCCACCTCAACAACGAATTAACTACTAATAACTTAAATATAAACACAAAATCACAATTGCCATCAATTTTGATACACTGTAAAACACACACTCAGCTTCCAAGTAATCCTGCTGTCCACACTCTCTGCTCTCTGCCTTCAGTTCACTGACTACCACAAGGCTGTTGAGCCCCAGACCGAAAGCAAGTAACTGCTTCCTCACATTGTTTATGATCCTCCAGGGAATGCTCAGCTTTCTGTCCCGCTTCCTATCTACTCTTTCCCAGGTCAAGGTGAATGCAAGCCATTTTCACTAGCTTCCCACCTCAGCTCATTTTCCCAAGGCAATCTCAATCTCTCACCACTCCTCTAAAGCAAACATGCAAGATAATTTTTTCTCTTTCTATTTCTTCTGAGAATAGCCTGCAATGTGCAGATGTACCTTGTTCTTGGGCAGTCCACATTATTTGATCAATGAAAATGAGATTTGCTATTCACATTCTTTTCATTATTACATGTACTGTTCTTTATATTTTCTTCTTGATTTGTGATCCTCTAACTTCTTACATTGTAGGAAAGTTTTATAAAAATAAATAGGCAATCATCGGTTCGGAAATAATTTTCATCAGTAAATGAGAAGTCAATATTGTAATCAAAATAAAATGCAAATGCAATACTGGGAGACACTTCATTTATTTTTAAACCCAGTTGTCCTATAACTATATACTAATATTTCTAACTTTTCAAATGTTCGAAAATTCAGAGAACTCAAATTTTATTTAAGAAAAAATCTGTCATTTGTCATACGTTGGCATTAATTTTCGGAAAACATAGTTCGTCGAAAAAGGGACCTTAACCATTTTTTTACCGTACTTTGATACATACGAGGAATACATTTTTTTTAAAAAAGAATTGTAGCCGTTTTGAGGAAAATAATTGTTTAAAAATTGCCAATATTTCGCAAAATTATGCGAAAATTATCCACATTTTCGAAAAAGTGTACATCACCTTATTTCAAGATGTCATTGAACAACAGATATGATTTCGAAAGAAAAATCTGTATCTGTAATTCTGTAGTTGTTGGAAGAAGCCCAAAAAACTTTGAACTTTTGCAATTTTCGAAAATGAAACATACTCAATTTTATTGTGTATGCATTTATTGTGTTCTCTACGCTATCCGACGATGAAGTTCAGTAAAACAATTGGAGCTATTTTCATTAACCATCGAACATTTTGAGGCTTCATGTAAAGTACCTCCAAAAATCAAAATATTCGTTTCAAATTCGCAGGGTTTCGATTTCAAAATGATAGAAGAATATCAATTTTTTAGAAAATCGTCTCAGATGTTTGGGCGCTCGCGTTGACACATTGCGTTGACAGACGTTTCACTTAATTTCGTTCTATTTTTACTTTCTCGCCTTTTAGGTATAAAGGATTTACAAAATACGTGAATTTTGCCTACACTTCTGAGGGGTTATCGGAAATAATTTACTACACATAAGAACAAGATTTATCTACTTTTTCGATACCAGACAAGGGGACTTTTTTTTCTATTAAATTATCATCGATTTCCGCCGCACGATTACAATACCTTTCTTTACTATTAGTACTTTACTTTCGTTAATCTAGACATTCTACTTTATTCAGTAACCGACGGAAATGAACATGAATTATTATTGATGCTACACACACTGCAGATGACAATATTAACAATGCAGAAACTGAAATGAGTGCTGTTACACAATGGCTCGTAGTAAAGTTGTCTTATTTCCTTGGTGTGGGCTAGCTTTCCGTCTAGCCTCATCTGGCGAGCTACCATCTATCGCCGCCCCAAATACAGTTTTTAAAACGTTTTATCAATTTTTCTGTTTCCTGATGGCAGATTCGAAATATTACTTTTAAGATAATAAAGAAGAGTAAAATCACGACCTCTATGGAAATTTCGTTGAAACATTTTGTTTATTTTTTAAGAAAATATGATTTAAGCGTTACTGTAAATACGACGTTAAAAACTTTTTCCTAAGAATATTTTGTGTTTTCAAAAACTTCATTTGAAGTCATTAGAAGCACGTTCACTCACAAATATAATAATGTATACAATGCTGGAAATGAGCAAATCATCGACGTAAGATATATAACAAAAATACATTTGTCTAATTCTTTAAAAACAAACTAATGCAGCAAAATTATTTTTTTTGTCATCTTAAACAGTGCAATTTCGTAATCATACAAAAAGTTTGATGAACAAATTTGGAGCCATTTCTCGAAAACTCAGAGAAAATGATGTTTGTGCGTTTCAGAAAATGCGGAAATTTGAGCTAATTTTTTCAGAGAATGTTGAGTTTTCGAGAAAATGTATACATCATTTAAAGCGCATGTCCTCAAAAATGAAAAAATGCGAACAAAAATGCCCTAACGTAAATGTTAACAACGTGAGAGACAAGTCAAAACTAGGGGTACTACAGCATGGCAGATACTTTCTCGTATAAGTTTTCTAATTTCTTTGGTCTGGGCTAGATATTCTGACTTGTACAATTGTAAAAAGTACTTTTTTTTAATTCCTCAATTTTTCGGTTTTTTAATAGTAATGTGAACGTGAACTGTGATTGTGAAATTGGAACTTCTTTTCACAGAAAACTATTTTTTCCAAAAGCTTCATATAGTCATTCCAAGCATTTTATGTCACAAATGCAGTAGTTTGCAAATCGCTGGAAATGTGGAAAAATGGCGTGAGAAATATTAAACAAACTGTGTAATTTTTGAAAGAACAAAAGAATACAGCAAAATAAACTTTATGGCATATTAATGAGTGCAATTAGCACTATCCGTTGGAAAAGTTTGAAGCCATTTTTAAGGAAATGGCGTTTGAGCGTTTCGGAAAATGCGTAATTTTGAATTCATTTTCACAGAAACCTGTTGAGTTTTTGAGAAACTGTATCTGACATTATTTAAAGCACATGTACTCATAAGTACAATAAAATAAACAAATTACCGCTAAAGTAAATATTAACGACGTGAGCGAAAAACTAAAAAAAAATACATTTTTGTATTTTTTGAAAAAACAAAAGAATAGAGCAATATGGCGTTTATGTTATGTTAAAGAGTGAATTTAGCACTACCCCTACCAAAAGTTTAACGAAAACATTTGGAACAGTTTTTGAGAAAATCTTGTTTTTGTATTTTTTTAAAAATTTCATTAATTCCATCCAATATTTCGCAAACACTACTGAAATTTTCAACAAAAAAAACAACAACAACAACTGAATATGTTCTTCATGAAAGAAAGAAATTATGGGCAACAAATTTCATATAAGGGGAAAATCCCTACCTCAATTTGTAGTTGTTGTGGTATTGTTTGTGTACTACAATTGTGTAATAGTTGTGGGAAGAGGCCGAAAAATATTCAAACTTTTGCAATTTTCGAAAATTCAGTTAACCGTGAAAATTAGACCTATGCCATCTTTACACGCATATTTTACTCTATTCTTACAAAAAATTTAAAGAAAAAAAATTGAGAAAATTGTGAAAATGCCCCAGGGGCTTCATGTAAAGTATCTCCAAGTTTTTCAAAATCTCAAAGCTTCGACTCGAGCCAGATGGACAAAGGTTTCTTCCATTTCAAATAAAATCATATGTATTATTTAGACGCTAGTGGTGTCCACGAATAGGACAGACGGACAGACGGACAGACGGACGGACGGACGGACGGACGGACGGACGGACGGACGGACGGACGGACGGATGGTCGGAACGCACAGACGGACGGACAGACAAACAGACGGAAGTTTTGAAAAATACTACTTTTCAAGGGAACCTTATCTAATCAAGGGGATCTTATCAGGAAACCCCAAACTTATCAGGGAACCCTTTAACGTGTATTTCCGGTGAAATCTCAAAATCGATTTTCCGCAGCATTACATAACTCTCCCTATACTACGTATATTACTCCGTGTGTTTATGTGTATGTATGTACGTATACGCGAAAGTAAAAAATATATTTTTGTATTTTTTGAGAAAAAAAGAACAACAAAAGAATGGAGTAATAAGGGGTTATGCCATCTTGTATTTATCAATATCCCTTCCAAAAGTTTAAAGAAAACAATTCGAGTCGTTTTTAAGAAATTCTTGTTTTTGTTATTTTTTAAAATTGCATATATTACACGCAATATTGTGCGAAAACTACTTAAATGAAAGAACTAATTATGGGTAACAAATTTTGTGTAAAGGATAAATCTCTATCTTCAATTTTGTCCTTGTAGGAAGACGCCGAAAAATTCAAACTTTTGCAAATTTTGAAAATTCTCAGTAAACGGTAAAAATCGCACATATGCCACCTTTATAAGTGTATTTTACACTATTCTTACAAGAAATTTAAAGACAAAAATTGGATCTATTTTTGAGAAAATGTCAATGGGCTACATATAAAGTATCCCAAATTTTAAAGAATGTTTTACATAACTTTCTCTGAACTACTATATTACTCCGTATAGAAGAAAGTAAAAACAACTCTTTTTCGGTATGAGGGGGAGCCCAAAACGTGTATTTCCATTGAAGCATGAAAATCGATCGAAGCATTATATTTCTCTATACCACGTATATTACTTCTTATACACCTACGCATACGAGAAAGTAACTAGTGGTGCTACAACAGCACACAGTTTCTCGCATTATTTGAAATGGCTGCAGAATATCAAACTACTACACGAACAACAAAAGTATTTCCAATCAACTAACATTTTTTGTCCGAGCTGAGATTGAATCTCAGGTCCATCGTGTTAACTCGATAAGGGTTAAGACCTGTCTTGAACAACGTATTTCATAAAAAAACGTCAAGGTGCCTTTGAAATAACAGATTTCTTCAAGAAAAAAGGTTCTTTCTTCAATGTTGTAGTTGCAATTGTTACAATATAATGTAGTTGTCCTAATAACATTTTAATCAAGGAAAAATTATATTTCTTCAATATTGTAGTTGCAAGAAGACGACAATGTTTTTTAATTTTTGCCATTTTCGAAAAATCGGGGATTTCAACGAAAATGAGACCAGCTCCATTCTTTTATGCGTCCTTCATGCTATTCCAGACCAAAGTTCAATAAAAAATGTGGACCCATATTTGAAAAAAAAAAAAAAAAAAAAATGAAAAGATTGTAGAGGCTGTATGTACAGTACCCCCCCCCAAAAAAAATCCGTTTCAAACTATCAGGGCTGCGAGTTCATTCATATCAATTTGGGAGAAAATCTTCACAACGGTTGAGACGCTATCGTTGACCACGGAGAGACAGATGACGTAAATTGATTTTTTGATACCAAGGCATACCATCGTTAAGGCAGTAGTGCCGTAGCGATCTCGGTCCGAAGGATCGCGGGTTCGAGTCCCACCTCGGGCATGGTTCATCTTTTCACACCCCTATCATCATCATATCGTGTCATCCTCATAGTTACCATACCATACGCGCAATAATGGTCGCTAATGGCCTAGTAGTTGATGCGACCTTACATAACAAAAAAGTAATAAAGGCAATTTACAGCATAAATTAAAAATATTTTTCCCGTTTTTTCGTTATCAGGGCACAAGACTAAGACATTTTCTGTCAAAAAATCGCCAATTTCCGATGCACGAATTCAATACTTTCTCTTTACTACTTGCGTGAAAAGAGGAGAAGTGAAAAAAAATAAATAAAAATAATTCCCCTCTCTATTAAATGCAAAGTTTATTGAGAACCTTGAATCTGTTGAAATTATACCGTCATAACTGTAACTTGAAAATTCTGTTTTATTCACACTATTACTAGTACAAAGAACAATTCAGGAAGAAGTATGCTCTTACGCCACACAAACCTTCATTTCGATGAAAAAATTTTCGGATTGAAATAAAAATTGTCCCACAAAATTGTTGGTGAAAAAACAATATTTTCAAATATATGCATGAAATCTTTCTGCCTTAACGTGTTAACGATGAATTATAAATTGACAATACTATTTTCTAGCAATTTGCATAACATAGTATGCCGTTTTTACGTAATTCTGTCATTTAATATAAAATTTCAGTGTTATTTCAAAATAAAATTAAGTACCCAAAATTTCTCAGATGAGTATTATTTTAGGCATTTCAGTTTTCAGTGGGATTAAGGCACCATGAAATATAAAAAGAATGTTTGTATGCATGAAAAGCAATGCATCACAGCAACGAGACTTTTTCAAGTTCTTATTTTCGTTTGTAATAGTGTTTTGTTTTTATTTTATTTTGCTTCTTCGTTATTTTTCCAATGTGATAATTCCTTGAATCTATACCTCTCATTTTGTTCTTTGATTAAACATATTATAAAATCTTAAAAATGTTCACACGTTCAGCATCTACACACTTTTTTAGACCAAGGAAAGAATAAATTCTGCATTTAATGAGAAATCCTTAGAACAATATTGCAGTTGATCTAGGCTCCAACACCTACTCAAAACTACAAGGAAATTTAAATCTCAAACATTCGCAAGTGAAACTTAACTCGAAGAGAAGATGAAAGCACTATCTCCAGAATTGGAGCAGTTTCCCCTGCTTTCTTCTGTGGCTAATTGAACTCCCACACCTACAGATACAATTCATATCCCATTGTAGCTTATTTTCTCACTCATTAAGGTCGTGGGAAGCGCATTCCCTTCAACAGGCGAGTGCAAATCTTACCTCCGGGGTTTGGGTCGCACAATTTCATGGCTGCCTTCGCTGATGCACAAGGGGCTGAGTGCACTGCGAAACTCAGGCATTGGGTGAGGCTGGTGGCCAGGCGTGGCCATCACGTCACTCCTCTGCAACAGGGCCCATGAATATCATCAAGCATACCCACCAAGAGCAACGCCAGCATGGGAGGAATCTATTGCAAACGGGTGACTCTGGCGGAGTGAGGAGGGGGAGCATCCAAGTATAAGTCAAATGGGGTAGCTTCGGCCGCTCTGTCGACAAACATGAGTAGTTGTACAACGATTTAGGATCCGATGATTAATTAATTTCGAGATTGCCAACGTCTACCCAATACTCCTCTATCCATCTAAGTGTTTCACGAATATTTTCAGGCACTAATAGGGCAATTGATATTAGATCCGTACTTTGGGTCGCAACGGGGAAGAATGAAATCAAATTATTAAACGTTTGGAGCCAACGGATAAAATTTCAATTTTCCAGGTATCTGAAAAATCTCCATTTTTTTAAAGAAGATAATAAGACGAGACAATTTAAGTAGTCACATTTCTCTACAGGTAATCAGGCTCTGCGAGAGTGGGTTTATTCTTCTGCTACCCCAACTGCAATTCACGATTCTGAATTGTGAGTTTACAATTGATCTACCCTGGCCTACCTAATTCACGTTGCTAAATTAAGTTCAATTAAAGTTGCCTGGAGGAAGAAACTCGATGATTGGAAAAAATGTCGGGGCCCGTTAAACAAAACAGAATTTCCCAAAATATTGAGGTCAGCTATTGAATCTGAAGGGCATGAAAGGTGAGAATTATCTGGCAATCTGGATTCTGGTCAACCGGCAAAAAGAGGTACAGTTTTAAAGAAAATTTCTGATTCCCAAACAAGTGAGAATATAGAGAAGTCTTGGAAAGACTGATTTGCAGACCTTTTCCTTCATTTTGAGTGGCCAAAGTTAATAGCAAACGTGGATAATTTCGTCTTAAGATAACTTGGGTCACATTTTCGAATTTTGTTTATTAAACAAAACGTCGCAAACATAACACCTGAATATACGATTGTGTATAAAAGACGTGAGAGAATATCCTCCTATTTAATGATGGCTGATTATCTTCTTCAAATTCACGAAAAAAAACTAAAAAGTGGCCGAAGTTACCCTATTTGACAGTACCTCCAGTAGTTTTATTCTAGGTCATTTACTTTTTGTACTAGACCCTTTCAGGTCGTAACGACGATATTGATTCATTGCAAGTAACATTCGTAGAGTGAAGCAATAACATGATGCACAGAGCAATTTTCATAACTTACGATTTTCTTTTATTGCGCGGAAAACGAATTTGTGAAGATACGCTAGAACTGGCGGGTATAGGGCTACTCTTACGACCCTGCATTTTCATATATAACGAAAAGGAACTTATACGCACATAGTACTGCTCACTCTCATGGTTCTCACTACTACTGCTCTAAACACCGCTGTCTCCATCTGTCATTTTCTAAGTTCATTGTCAGAGTATATAATTGAATCAGCATGAGGAGAAAGGGAACAAGTCAAAAATGCATTTTGTTTTTGTAAATTTGTTCGTTAAGGCACGGTAAATTGTACTATAAAGAAAGGAATCATGTCATAAGTGTTTACTAGTGTTTAGGTTATAAATTGCAAGATCGTGGTAGCTGTACTACGGAGGAAGGAATGAAGTCAGCGACATGTTCCGTTTCTCCTCAGTACTATAATTTTCATTTAGAACATTTGCAATGCATATCGCGTTATGCATGCATGCAATGGCTTATCTACGATACGGCAGACACGGCACGAACTATGGGTGCCCCTCACAGGGGCGCAATTTAGAGTACAACCGCTAAAACAAATAACCAAAATTTGAAATATTCTGACAAGGACGCAAATTCTATCTTGCCAAGGGCGCCAGAATATCTAGATGCGCCTCTGCATGCAGGGTATGCGATATCATGTATGTAATACCACTTTTTTTAATATTAATTCTTAAAGAAAAGTTTAGATTTGGTAGTGAAGAAGGTAGAAGTGGATGTTTGCTCCAAATGCGAAGAGCTTGGAGCAAAAATGAAAAGTACAATTTTGTGTGACAGCGTTAAACGTGCAGCAGATGCTCAACTTCATACACATACACACACACACACACACACAACAGAATGACATAGCACTTTCCTTTATGAGTTTTCAATTTCCTTTGGTATCGGCTAGCTATACGAACTTGCCATATATTCTTTGCCAGCTGCCATCTATCGACGCCCAAAGTACTTTTTTTTTTTTTTTTAAATTCTCAATTTTTCCGTTTCCTAAGAGTAGAACGGATATATTATTTCCAGAATATTAAATAACAATAAAACCTCGTCTTGTGTGGCAATTTGGAAAAAATCCTACGCATGGTTTAGGCGCTAGAAGTGTTTACTGACGGACGGACAAACGGATAAACGTTTTGAAGGGAAAAAAACCTCTTTCGGTATCTGGGAACCCCAAAACATGTATTTCCGTTGAAATCTCGAAATCCTGATACGTCTAGATACGTACATTACTCAGTATGTTCGTATATATATATATATATATATATATATATATTATATTATATATTATATATATATATACTCAACGGGAAAGTAAAAATAAAGCTTTAACTAATATTCCGCAGAGATAGTTACGCCTTTCATGTCCCCCCCCCCCCCCCGAATTTTACTTCACCGAGACGCTATTGCTTGCACCGAGCTATTTTACGACAACGTATCACCAGCAGTGGCGTTTATGTATCAAGTAATTGATTATTTATTTAATAAGATAATTCATTAATAGAAATAACAACACGTATTCATTTTATGTTTTCTTTTCAAAAGTGTCAATGAGATGTGAATTGTAATATAAAACTTTGAAGCTTGATGAGACAAATTACACAATTACATAAACACAATCATAGATCCAATTCTATTTTCAGAAATAACAAAAACAATATGTAATAATATAATTATACGTGAGAGAATGTTCACAGATAACCTTGAAAGGTAGCTTGATGGTGAGCAATGAAATTTAATTTAATTTTACGAACAAGGTGTTTTCAACATTATTTTAACAGAATGTGCAAATTTGTGACATTCACAATCGAGGTCATTCAAGGTCCTTTGGCTCTTATACACTGTAGCCAAACAACTAGTATAGCAAAGCGTATTGAAATAAAAGAGATCTGGAACCAATCAGAATACAGCGCACCGGTCGGCAACGACTACTTAAGACAACCGGAATCTAGCACAGTTGTTAGATCGATTATTGCTGCTACAAAGGCAGGTTATCCCAATTTAAGTGCGTTTGAACGTGGTGTTATAATCGGCGCAAAAGATAAGGGGCATAGCAACACCGAGCTCGCGATAAAATTTGGATTTTTCCGTAAAACCATTTCACGAGTGTACCGTGAATACCAAGAATCCGGGAAAACATCGCCGCGGCCGCAAAAAGATCGTGCAAGAACGGGACCGACGTCTGAGGAAAATCGTTACAGGTGACAGAAGTGCAACCCTTCCTCAAATTGCTGCAGATTTCAAAACTGGGCCATCAACAAGTGTCAGCGTGCGAACCATTCAACAAGACATTATCAATATCATTTTCATCACTTGCTCCTGAAGAAAGGAAGCATGCCAGTAAATGGTGGTCCTTGACAGAAACTTTAATCGTTTATCATCGAAATGAAGACATTACCTGAGCTGTTCGTTTGTTTGGTGATCTTGGAGATTACCCTTCTCATCCTTTCCAACTAATACAACAAAACGAACGCACTTAAAGGCGATTCCCAAAATCTAATGCACACGTGAGAATGAGAGAGTTTCGCCAAAGTGAATGAAGGATTAAAAAAGGGAGAAATCCGCGAAAAATAAGGCAGAACCTCTACTAATTTGTCCCGCTATTGAAACGATAGCACTAGTCTTCGACTGCGCTCACCAGCCAGCCGCCAGCCTGGGAGAACGGTTTCCAGGACACCTTTCCATGTGCGGCCCGCGACGAATAACGGTGTCGGCGGCGGCGCCGCCGCCGCGTACACGCGGATGCTCCGGCAGAACGCGGTCAATGGAGCTGCGTAAGCGTATGGTGCCATGTCCACGAGCTGCATAAGCGCAGAATGTCAAATTTGAAAAGAGCTGCTCATGCCCCGCTCTTCACATGTATGTCTTCGGACTGCGCGTGAGATGTCGCGGCGAGGCGCAGGGCTATTGAAACGTTAGGAGGCACCAGGGCCTTGCGCCGCCGGAGCTGGGGAGGTGGGAAGGAGGCTAAAGTCGAAGGCGCTGACAGTGGTGAGATTCGCGCGGGTAGCCCTCCACGGTTTGAATAAGCAAACTAATCCTGTGCTTAGGAACCCTCAAACATTGTTTTAACAAAATTTTATCATGATCGAGGTTATTTGCTTTATTACATATAAATGAAAGAATGTAACTTGACAATATTTATTTTTTCTGTATAATAAAATTTTATATTGGTTCGTAACCTTCTTCTTTGGTCCTATCTTCCATATACGGAAGTTAGGTGACCCATAACGGGTTTTCTTGGGATAAATTATTCAGGGTGGTTTCTCGTTGCTTTCCCTGATATGATGATGATGATGATGATAGGGGATGAAAGGACGAACACAATACAACCATGCCCGAGGCGGGACTCGAACCCGCGATCTTTCGGTACGAGATCGCTACGGCACTACTGCCATAGCGATCTCGGCCACCGGATCGGCATGGTTCGTAACCTAAAAATTGTTTAATGCAAGCTTTTAAATTGCAAATGTTATAGTTAATTTTAATTTTGAACGTCCAGCGACGGTAGACGAATTGCTAAACCACGCTCCGTGAAGTCGCGGAGGTTAAGCAACTCGAACATACCGAGTAGCTTCCCAAGATCAGGCATTGAGAACACGCATTATGATAAAGTGGTTCTCAAAATTTCCCATGATGATAAATGCCACATTTGCCAGGAACAAGTAGAAACCATAGACCATATCGTTCATCTTGTCCGATTCTAGCAATATCCAAATACTTGAAAAGATACGACAGGATGTGTAGTTACCTTCATTGGCAGATCTAACCGTCCCCGAAGTTCCATACATATGCCCCA